CCCTAGTCCACCCTGATCAAACTGGCTTTATACCACAACGGGAAGCAAGAGACAATGCCCTTAGAGCTACTCACGTCCTACACTGGGCCCGCTCTATGTCACAACCCCCTTCCTGCCTGTTCCTCTCCTTGGACGCAGAGAAGGCATTTGACAGGATGGACTGGGTGTTTCTGGAGGAGGTTCTGCGCCAACGGGGACTGGAGGCTGCGTTGCTGTCTTGGATCTCCTCCCTCTACATGACACCTGAGGCACGAGTGAGGGTGAATGGCGCCCTGTCGACCCCGTTCCCGGTTCGGAACGGGACCAGACAGGGGTGCCCACTGTCGCCACTGCTTTTCGCCCTCCCACATAGGGCCCTGTAACATACTGTCGGTGCCAGTCCTCCCTAGACTGCTCTTTCTCTTCCAGATGCTTCCCATAGCGGTCCCTCACATGTTTTTCCGCCGTCTCCGTAGTCTTTTTTCAGACTTTGTGTGGCGGAAACATAAGCCCAGAATCGCATTCTCCATTCTGAGGAGAGTGAAATTGTCGGGTGGGCTGGGCCTCCCGGACATGCACCTTTACTACAAGGCAGCGGTACTTCAGCGAATCCTAGACTGGCATTTCCGGGTGGGGGACAAGCTATGGGTGGCATTGGAGAAGAGTATGGCTGGCCGGAACCTGGCTCATGCACCATGGTTGCTACCAGAGTTCAGGGGGTTGGCCGCCACTACCTCCCCGCTCACCTCCCACACGCTGCGGCTCTGGGACCGCATGAACAAACAGAGACAACTGGCGCCCGCTATATCCCCCTGACCCCGGTGGGTGGGTTCCCCTGGTTTCCACCTGTTGAGAGCTTGACGTATCTTGGCCGTTGGGTGGGAGATGGACGTGTGAACCTCTCTAAATTCCTGAATGGCTCTGCGCTGATGTCCCTTGAGGAGATGCGTCAGAAATGGGGGTCGTATCCGTTCGACTTCTGGAGGCACAGACAACTTTCGCACTTTCTGCGCTCACTAGAGTCCAGAGTGCGGCCCCTTAACAGTACTATTCAAAATGCCCTGTTTTTACAGGGGGTCGGGGAGGGGGCGCAAAAATGCACCTTGCCTGTGTAGGCAAGCATCCTAGCACCGGCCCTGTCCATAGCCTAACTAAAAGGCTAGGACTCTAACCCTGAGGCTGGGACTCTAACTCTGAAGTGTGACTTGGCATACAGGCGCTGAGCCGAATTTGGTATGTGCTGAATATAAGCTATTTTTATTTGACTCTTTTTGGATAAGAATAAACGTTTATTTGCTGATGCGGCTGGCTATGGGTCATATCCGCCCTGAATACTACAATGGAAAACATGTATGTAAAAAAGTACCTACACCTCTTTTTGGTAATATCATCTCAAAGTGCATTCACATTGTGCTAGTGAAAGGAATTCAGTGAGAAGGTATTGTTCTCAAATAATACTTGTAATTGATCCCAGCCATATTGTCAGTCAAGAGTCAAAGTGAAGTTAAGATGATTTAGGACATAGCTTGAAATCTGGTAATGGCACATCTCGAATGTGTTTGGGTCTAATTAAAAAAAAACAACAAAACCGTCACCATTGGTCATCTGTAAAACTCTGAATCCTAAAGCCCTACTTTGGGCTCTGTGCCCCCGTAATCAGCCCCCTCGGCTTTGTATTTTTTTTTATACTTCCAGATGGCTTTAGGACGATCATGTAATGCAGCAGGGTTCTCTTCTTCGATTTTTATCCAGCCTGACCCGTCCTCATTGATGCAGAGAGTTGCACTGACATCATCACTCTCTGTACTAGAACAGAATGGGTGAGGTAGTACAGGGGGGCAGGGCCATGACACATTTGCATTTATACTATGTTCTCAATATTCAGGGTTAAAGCATATTTAAACACCCAAACAAAAATGAAATATATTGCAGCTTCTTAGTTCTATTATGTGGTTGCTGCATTAGTTTTCCTTTTTTAGGCTTTTATTCTTTTTTTTAACCTAGAGATCCAGCCAGTTAACACACTCCCGGTCCTACGGTGGCTCTCTATGGCAATTTCCCTTTTGGTATAAAGCTAATCAAGGACCCCTGTCATTTTTCAACTTCCTTTAATAGACCAAGCTGTCCAGCAACAGTGGGAATTAGAGAGTTGATACAAACCATTTTTCTAAAATCCTAAAAAAGAAAACTAACACAGCCACTGCATCTAAGAATTGGTAAGCTGCAACATATTACGTTTTTGCTTTTAGGTTTAGATACACTTTGGGGTCTAAATATCTATATACTGTATGTATTTATATTTATAAGGAATTTTCTGTGCCCTCCACCCTGTGAATGTTCGTTTTGTGCGATTAATAACAGAACCATATTTTTTTTCAGGTCGAATGGCCACTAGATGAGGAGCATAGGAAACAATTTGAAAATAAAATAATTTGTCTTTTGAATTGTTTATAAATAGACCCCTTTAAGTAATGCTGGGTGTCATTAAACCCAGAAAAAGGAGGACATTTTTTTTGGTGAAGAAGAGGTACTGCGCGGGGACTGTTCCTTATTGAAGGTAAACATTGCAGCCTGAGCCACTTTTTTTTCAGACTGTCTGGCAGCTGGTTGAAAACGCAATGAAAATACTGTTAGTCAAGATAGATAAGTCAGCTGTGGTATACTACATGTATCAGTACTGATACTTTTTTTTCTGGATAGTTTTTCCAGGGTAAAATAGAATAGAAAGTTATGTTTTTTTGTATTGATTACACAAATGTCGAAGTATTTAAACTTACCTGGATAACTAGGCTTGCTTAATTTAGAAAAATACAACTTGGAGGTCGTGAAGCTAAACTTTAAACAGAAAAATACACAGATGAAATATAATTTTTTTTGTAAAAGTGATATTAAACTCTTATTTATTTTTATGAATTTTATTTATCAATATTATTTTTTTAGGAATAAATAAGAGTTTATTTATCACAGGTCCCCAGTTACATTAGGTGCTGCTTCTCACCCTTCTAATTCTTTCCTTTCTTCCTCATTCGGTCAGACCCATTATTGACCCCACCTTCCAGTTTTAGAGTGGCTCCTTTACCTTGCCACTTTGGAGCAACCCTTGTTTGTATGCTCCTGGTTGGATGTGTGCTGTATGTTGTGTGCATTAATTCAAACACAATCCCACGGCAAGCAACTTCCCATGTTCCATCCTAAGTAATTGAGGGAAAGCTGCAGGTGCCTGCACTGTACCTGAATTACCTTATGCTCAGTGAACCACTCAACTGGAAGTTTAGGAAAGCTGCACCGAGGGACCCGGGTTGTTAGCAGCACATAGCAAATAAATTGTTTGTGCGCTTATATACAGTGAATTATGTGATGGGGCAAATTTTCCTTAGAACTTAAAATTCATTATTTAAAAAAGGGTGAGGGTTTAATACAACTTCAACCCTGCCAACGGACTTATATTTCTGTTCATCTATTCCGAAGATTTATATTATGCAGCTATGCTATGGCAAGGCAGAATACACCACTCTTTCTATTAACGTTTTAGCCTTTAGAACAGGGGTAGCCAAACTCCGGCCCTCCAGCTGTGGTGAAACTACAAATCCCATTATGCATCTCTCTCTGGGAGTCATGTCTGTAGCTTTGAGAATCTTGCAATGCCACATGGGATTTGTAGTTCCATCACAGCTGGAGGGCCGGAGTTTGGCTACCCCTGCTTTAGAAGGACTACAGTGGTGTCCTCTGATCAACCCCACCCTGCTGACTAAACAACAAAAGACCAGCAGCAGGATAATGAAGTAATCTCCCTTTCCTCCTATCAGCATGTTCCTTGTCATGATATTTACGTAAGGCACGCCAGTTTTGACTTACAGTTCTACCACTCTCTCTCCCAGTCTGAGAGCTGCTGTATAGATGATTGCATGAAGCTAATAGTTATTAAGTTAAATTCAGGTACTCATACAGGCTACATTTAAAAATATATATTTAATGATTTATTAATGAATACTGAACTGCAATCATTTGTCTGTTACATCTGCCTAAAGTTCTTTATTTTACAAATAAACATTTAATACAAGATACACCTATGACAATGGAATCAAAGAACAGTATAGCTTTTCCAAGGAGACAGCACAACAGAAGCTTTTTCCTTCAGATGCTCACGCTCTGACTGAATTTCTGTACTCTCTCTGAACAAAATAGTGAGGGAGGAGGATAAATCACTCCTCTGACTCATTCAGCTTGAACTACTGAAATCTGTAAACAATAGGCTAGTCTGGCAAATGTGAAAAGGAGTCTAGAGCTCCACCTGCTGATGGGATATGAAAAAAGAGGTTAATATGCAATATTTCATATTTCATCTTGTTATAAAAATATGTATTCAAAAAGTTAATTTTTAGTCAAGAACATATTACCGAAATCTCTAAGCTAATGGTAACAATCTCTAAGCTAATGGTATCCACTGTTATATTTACATAATTATAACAATAACAATTTGATCTAGCCAGTTTGGTTTGTCTGCCCTTGTGGGCTCATGAGGCATAATTTTCCAGTTGCTTGTGCTGTTTCGCCTCCCTCTACTTGATTCTGTGAGAGGTTGGACTTGATAGATATAAGTACCTTTTAAAGTTAAACTAAGCTTGTTAAAAATTACATATGTAAACAGCCACTGGTGATTTCTTTCACATAGAATTTGCTTGTTGCCTGGCTGCCATGCTAATTGTATGTATTCATGTCACTGACAATAAGAATACAGCTTGGGACCCGTTACTTTGTAGGCTGGATGCTCAACATCAAAACTTTACTAAGTGGGGAAGCCAATAGATGAGCTTGACAGCCAAGGAACTAGCAACTTGTAAACTAAAGAGAACTCTCCCTGCACCATGTTACTGTACCATCCTCAACATAACGCTGACAACAGTTGTTTACCATTTAATTTATTGTAAATCTATTAATCCAATTCAGTGTTTTGAGTCATCTTTATTTTTACCGAACCTTTCTGCGCAGCCACTATTCACATTTCACATATGTTTATTTTATCTGAGAATTTACATGTTAAGACAGAGGAGGACATAGGTCACTTAAAAAGTTTCTGGGCTGGATCATTCCACCTTGCTTTTTCCTAAAAATAAAGGAAAAGGTTCTGATTAGAATCACTTAATCACTCCATTAACTGAAAAACAAATATTTTATTTCCTTCACTTCCCTCTAGTTTCTCAGCCACACTTTTTGTTTCATATGCTGCATAGTTGAAACTCTGTATCACATTAACAACTCCGGAAGCACACAGGAGGTAAATTCCAAGTCAATAATCAACATTAATAAATGTACAAAAGAAAAAAAGTGGGACTTTTAGAGTACTCCAGGATCACAAAAGTGGTATTTGTATAAAATATAACAAATTGTATTTAAATATATTTAAGACATGTACTTTAAAATGATCTAAATAAGAACAAAGGATGTAGCCAAATGTCACTTTCTTTTCATGGTGTGATCCCTTGGGAGGACGACAATTTCTATGCGTTTCATCCGCTTCTTCAGGAATAGGCTACTACCTCTCTATAAGAAGTTTACATATTAACCACTTGCTGACCGGGCTGTTTACACCCCCTTCCTGTCCAGGCCATTTTTCAGTATTCAGCGCTGCGGTACTTTGACTGGCATTTATTCTGTCATGCAACGCTGTACTGAAATAAATTTTATACCATTTTTTGGGGACAGATAGAGCTTTCTTTTGGTGGTATTTAATCACCACTCCGGTTTTTAATTTTTACTATATAATGAAAAAAGTACAGAAAATGTAGAAAAAAATAAAACTGTTTTCCCTACGTTATGTTATAAAACAATTATTATTACCCAACTTTTTGGCAAAACATAAAAGATGGGGTCACGTCGGTTAAATAGACACTAAACATCTCAAGCTTTAAAATTGCGTGCGCCCGCGAACTCGCAAAAACGACCATACCCAAAATTGGCCATAGGCGACGCTTTAAAAGCTTTTACCGTTCATCAGTTTAGTGTTATCAGTGATTGATGGCCCTAAAATTATTGCTCTCACTGAGACGTTCGCGACGATATGTAACATGGATGCAATTGTCGTTTCCGCACGTAGGCGCACTCGACGCATGTTTGCATGTGTATGTGGGGGGCTTTACATTTTCTTTTCTTTTTTTATTACCTTTATATGTGACTTTTAATTTTTTTATATTTTTTTGTAACTAATTCTTTTAAACCTTTTTATTTCACTTAACTTTATTGCTCTCACATAGGGGACTAACAAGCCCCCTTTGTGATAGCCAATTTTCAGTGACAGGTCCTCTTTATGGAGACATCAGTGGTCTTTAAGACCCCTAATGTCACCTAGGAACCCCCAGAGAAGCTGATGAAGCAAACACCTGCTTTAGCTTCTCTCCGGTTTCTGTACCAGAGAGTGACAGAGGAATGTAATACACATCACTTCCTGCATTCCGATGAGGAGGAGATCAAACAGAGAGCGTGTACTGATCTCCGTTTGATCTCTGGCCGCAGAGCTACTGTGCTGGTCCCGGGCTCACACCGGGCACAGCGGAGCTCGGGATCGCCAGCAGCGGCTGCAACGGAGGGGGGGCGCACACCCGCACGCATATTACAAGCGATTGGGCGTCTCTACAGACCCCCGAACGCTTGTATGTAAACAGCCATGGCTGGCTGTTTACATTCCAGGCTGATTTCCCACTCGTGCGCACCGCTAGCGGGCAGGGATGGGACGTTTAAAAACGCCCACCCGCATTCAAGGAGCCGCTGTCCGGCCGTTTAATTACAACGGCCGGACAGCAGGTGGTTAAAGGGCATTAGTTAATTTCAAATCTATGTGAATACATTTATTAGTTATTGCATTTCATCTGATTCAATAGACTTATAATAGTCTTTTAAAATGGCAATATCACTCATATCCACCTTTCAACCATGGGCATGGACGGAGAGGGACCAAAGGAAGCCAAACAGGACCCATGTAGAGAGGTAGTAGCCTATTCCTGAAGAATCGGATCTCCATGAAACGCGTCGTCCTCCCACTGGATCACACCATGAAAAGAAAGCTGACATACAGCATATTGTAAAAAGTATTGTAATACCAAGATAATATGTGGGAAGATGTGGCTACGTCCTTTGTTCTTATTTAGATCATTTTAAAGTACGTTTTAAATATGTTTAAATAAAAACATTTTTATTTGATCTGAAAATATACTAAGAACATTCATTTTTGCCTCCAGAACGAACGTTCACAGAGATTTGCAAGACAAATGGCTCTGCGAGTTGTTTATAAATACACTCCATAATTATGTTGTATTTGCTTATAATGATTTTAGTGTACTTTTATTTAAAATATTGTTTTGATAAACATTTGTGCAACTATCACAGGGCCTACAAAATCAGTAAATCTGTAGTCTTTTACACATTCCAAAAGCTGTAAGTAAAAAATAGCAAAAACTGTCTGGCTTCTGAGGTTAAAAATGGGCTACAGACAATTTAAGCCACATTCACATTTTGGCCAAACCAATAATGTAACCACTTGCATTGGATCCGCTTGCTAGTGTCCTTGGTCTTTTATGTTATTTTGTGTAATAATAATGACATGAAAAAATAAAGCCTAGAGAAGAAACATTGGTGGTCAATAGAGAAGTGGCCCCTACATTCGTGGTCAGTCTAGTGCTTACATCAGCAGTTAGTGGAAAAGAATCCCCTTACATTGGTGGGAAGTGTAGTGTGTGCTTACATTGGTTGCTAGTGGAAAGGTTCCCCCTTAAAATGGTGGTCAGTGCAGACTTAGCTGCAGCCACCTATATTAGTGGCTGATGGAGAATACCGGTGGTCAGTTGACAAGTACCCTCTTAACACTGGTAGTCAGTGTAAAAGGATCCCCTTTCCCCTTAGGCCTGGTGTGAACCAGGCCTAAGTGTCATTGGTTACTTACTGAGGAGGATTTCAGCTGCTCTTGTATCACACTGGCTTTGCCGAATGACATCAGTGCTGGAACAATTCAGGTACTGTCAGGCAGGAGATCCATATGTCTAAGCAGCCTGCACACCCTTATTCCTGGCACTTGGGATGGATGTGTCCTATTATCCGACAATTGGTACACTGCTGCCCAACAAAATGGTTTCTGAAACTTGCATTATTGTTACTTGAGAAAATTCTGCAATTGTTCATGGTTTTTATATGCTGGCTCTAAAGCTGTAAGATGTGTAATATAGCTAATGCTACAGCTCAGGATTACTGGCACAAGAAGACTTGTACCTATTGTGAGGGAATGCACACAACTCCCATCCTGTACTTAGATAATCAACATCTGCCTTTCAATTGTGAATGGATCAAGTTGTCTGCGTTACCTGTGTGGATGCTGAGGTATTTCCTGACACTCATCAGAACTAAAGAAGTGGCTTCAATAAAGCTATGAAATGTCTTCAACATTACAGAACAAGTCCAGTTGAATGTGACTAACTACTACTAGCTATACCCATGACCTCGAAAAATGAGAACTTTCACAGGCAAGTGTTGTGGGGGTCTAGCATCAAACAGTCAGTTCAGGCCCCAATGATAAAGTTGCCATCTGCCAGGTAAAAGTGGGGCTTGTTACCAATGATATTACTAGGAAATAGAACATAAGACTGGTATGGCTGGTATTTTTCTCAGAAAAGGTGGAAACCTTACCCACTGACAATTTCAGGGCAATTTAGGTCAGTTTTATTCCTATGAACGTTATAGCAATAACAGGAAAATTGTATTATCATACTTACCGCAATTTTCCTTTCCCGATAGCTCCATGGCAGCACACAATGGGTGTAGGCTCCGCCCCCCTAACCTGATAGGATGTTTTAACTCATAAATTTGAGCCTCCACCCAGCCACTAGCGTTACGTAACTAGCAACTCCGACTGGGCGGGATATCAGGTAAGCGACCACTTCCTACCTATCAGATTCCTATAGGAGGAAAAAGGAGGAACGCTAGTGGCTGGGTGGAGGCTCAAATTTATGAGTTAAAACATCCTATCAGGTTAGGGGGCGGAGCCTACACCCATTGTGTGCTGCCATGGAGCTATCGGGAAAGATTCATTCCACACAGTAGGTATATCTGCCACAAAACAGCAAGGTCAAATTTAACTTCCTGAAAAGCTCTGCATTCTGTTTAGCATCACAAACTGAGTTTACTCTTGTATGTGAAATAACTGTTCCTTTATGCACCTGTCTTTTTCCATTCGGGTGAAAACTCAGCATGGCGTGGTGATCAGGGTGTCCATCCTCATTCTTACTGGCGAGGCTTCAGAAACCAAACTAGGCAGAATTAAAATTTTTGTCACACACAATATTCCTCTGCAGCAATTTCATGCAAAAACTGCCGCCACCTGGTGTTAGGAGCATGTGAAATGCTCCTATGCCTGTCGCAACCACTCAGCTCCATTTTTGTACATTGCAAAAGCTTTCAGTGCAGACATGTTTTTATTCAAACTGAAGCCCATGTAAACAAGGCCTGATGGGAAAACCCCACATGACAGGCTATTGAAGAGCTGGACTAACATGGGGAGAATAAGAAGACTTACTGTACAAGGTACATGGAAATATCTGCCAAATATCACTAGAAACTAAATATGGCACAGTCTCTTTTGGAACAAACCAATAAGGCCCCATTCACACTGAGCGATTTATCGCGCGATTTTTGCAGCGTTATTTTGCTCATATTTCCACGCGATATGGCTCTATGTAGCTTCTCCTGTAGCTCGTCGCTGTAGCTTGTCGCTCCTACATGACCCTTTTTTCTGCGGATTTCGGGCGATTTTGCTCCTGATTGCATACAGCCCAATAGAGAAAAGTAGCACGATAAGTCGCGCAACATCGCACATATAAAATCGCGCGATTCATGTCGCTCAGTGTGAATGGGGCCTAAAAGTACACAGATATCTTCATATGGCAAATCCTTGTAAAGTGCTTGCACAAAGCAGTTACTGCATCTCTCTAAGTTGCTAATTATTACATTTACTATTTACCATTTACTATTTGCAGAAGCCCTCTTTTATTGTTTTTATACATGTAACTAATTAGCTGCGAGCAATTACTTAAACAGGGAGCGGTTTTAAAACATTTTGTGACGGTCTAGAAAGCAGCAATCAGTAAGGCCAGGCCACATACTATGCAAAGAAACTAGGCCAGGTTCACAGTTGCGCAATCCGTGACCGTGCGGCAATTGTGCACGAAACCGCACAGCTTGTTGTGTGGTCCTGGTGTCGCACACCACCGTTGATTGTGCTGGTGGTGCGATTCTTTTCTAATGGCACCCCAGTCACTCTGGACGGATCATGCGGTTTGCCGACGCAATTTCTACCGTGCAATCGCACATGATCGCAGCTGAAAAAGTCGCGTGTCACAATAAAAGGTATATGTACCCTTTTTCAGCGATTTGCCACGCGGATGTAACCCCATTGAAATCAATAGCACACGATCGCGCAGTCCCGGGACGCGCATCCCGGGATCGCCCAGGTCTGCACCAGTCCTCAGTATGTGCACTTACTTTCATGTTATCCATTCAGTGAAGACCCTGTGATGTGCTTTTCCACCCTAGTTTGTTAGTGCACCTGTTTTCTTTACATTTGTTTTAAAAATATTTACTTTATAACACTATGGGCATGCACAGGTTTGCTTTGGTATGGCTATCCCAAGTATGAAATATGCCATTGGATGTGGTTTACTGCATACAGGCCCAGTTAAAGCTGCCAATATATAAATATGAATTTTTATATCATGCACATTAGCTAATTTTCTCTTACTGAATAAAGAGAATGTTCTACTTACACTTCAGTTTGCAGGGCAAGAAGTGCCTCTTCTATCCGTGTCTCTGGTATATCTCTATCAACCTGGGCTAGATACTTATAAAGGAATGTGAATGTCTCAAAAGGAATACGAGCAGCACCACCTTCTGGGTCCTCTGTAAGTATTTCACAGGCTTGTTTCAGCGCAATGGCAATTGACTGCAAAGAATAAATTATATATATAAGCAGATGAAAAACAGTAAACCACTTGTGTTACTACAACTCCTGTTCCCCCAAAAATTGGGATACTGTATAAAATCTACATAAAAACAGAATGCAATGATTTGCACATTTCATAAACCCATATTTTATTCACAATAGAAAATAGAAAACATATTAAATGTTTAAACTGAGAAAATAGACCATTTTAAGAAAAAAATAAGGTCATTTTGTCATTTTAAAATTGATGGCAGCAACACGTCTCAAAAAAGTTGGGATAGGGCATTGTTTACCACGGTGAAGCACCCACTTTTTTTTGTTTTGTTTGTTTCCAACAAATTTTTATTGATTTTCCTCATACAGAAGGAAGCAGCAGAACATAACACTGCCTTTTGAACATTTCAGAAACTACAGTAAAGTTCTTAAGAAAAGAAGGAAGAAGAGGTAGGGGAGGAGAGAGAGAAAGGTAGGCACCAAAGTAGCAAAAACAGTCAATCATCATATCTGCAGCCTAGGTTGGTAAGCTGGACTATATTGATCAAGAAGTTAATACGTAACACATTGTCCTATTGTTCTGGACCTCTTGTGACTAATGGAGAAGCACTTATCTCACATATATATGGTGCGGTGGTTAAAAAATGGGCAAAAAAAAAGAGTAAAGAGAGAAAGACAGTAGTTTGACAAAGTAAGCATGAGAAGAGAAGGTATGAAGAGACCGCAGCTAGTAACACCAGGTGATCTCCAAGAGGAAGCACCATCCCATGGTTGGTCATGCTGTAGATTTGAGAGACTGATAGTCAGGCGTGGTTGTGAAATGGTTCTAACACGCCCAGATGCGGGAAAATTTGTCCAATGCATCCCGTCTTGTGAATAGTAATTCTTCCATCTCATAAATGTGGTTGATCTGTCAGATCCATTCGGACAAAGAAGGTGGTCCAGTCTCTTTCCAATGCCTCTGGATAATTGTGCGAGCCGCATGAATCATATGTTTTTGCAGTGTTTTACTTAGAGCTGCAGCTAACGATTATTTTCAAAATCGATTATGTTGATTAGTTGTTGCAGCCCTAGTTTTACTCGAGCTCAAGGTGTCAGCAGGGTCTTTCAGAAGGAAAGTTGCCGGAAAGAAGCGGGTAATTTGGCCAGTAACCTGGGAGATGATGTTATGAATCCTGGTCTAGATCGTGGTGAGTAGAGGACAGGTCCAGAAGACATATAGGAGATTCATCTGACATCTTCCATCTTCCATCTGACATCTCCAACATGTGCCAGGTACAGCTGGGTAAATCCTATGTAGGATCTGCGGGGTCCTGTACCAGAACGTCAGAATCTTGTAGTTAATTTCTTGGGTGCGTCTACTTGTGGAGCTGGTGTGAACAGTAAGGCACATGTATTTTCAGTCCTCATCTGTCAGGATGTCTGCAATTCCTTTTCCCACCGTAGTTTGCTTTCCCCCTGCATTTGCGTGTCCTGTAGTAATGAGTAAAACCTAGAGATCATGTGATCCTGGGGGCCATGTCCCGTGCACATTTTTTCTAGAGGAGTCAGGTTTCTGGAGAAATCGGTCTTGCTGGACTGACTGGTCAAAAAAATGTCTAATCTGTAAATATTTCCACCATGGGATGTGCCCTTTCAGTGTCAAATGAGCAAGGCTGCTATTCTCCAGAAACAGTTGATCCTGAAAAAATAGTTTGGCAGGGAGCGGTGTGTCCATGGGACCGTACTGCTGAAATTCTGGAGTAGTCCCTGGTGTGAAGTCTGGGTTGTGCAGTAGTGGTGTCAGTGGGCTATCTACTGTGGTAAGAGTTCGCCTTTTCTGCAGGATAGAAAACTCATTTAATGTTGTCGAACTCAATGGATGTGGGGGACTGGTAACTGGTCTGTGGGAGTCCACAAAGCCACACCACTGAGGAAACTGGGATAGAGAACCTTTCCTGGTTGATGGCCACCCAGGCTTTTGATGGTTGTTGTGTGTGCCAATGTATTATCCTAGCCAGATGAGAAGCCAGATAGTAACCTCCACGAGATTTTGGACATTGTAGTAACACCCAGGAAAGGCGTGGTTGTTCATCCTTCCAGACAAATTTCGAGAAATCTGAGCGCAGTCCTTGGAAGTACGACCTCAGGAGGATAATAGGAATTGTTTGAAAGAGGTAAAGAAGCTTCGGGAGACCGTTCATTTTTAGTAAGGCCACCCGGCCAAACCAACTAAAAGTAAGAGTGCGCCATTTCTGCAGGTCAGATCTAAGTTTGGACAGTAAAGTTGAGAGTATATAAGGCCGATAGGTTAGTTGGAAGGTGGATCCCCAAATATTTGACAGAGGAATTGCTCCACTGGAAAGGATATTTGTGTCATAGGGGTCTAGCAATGGAGGCGGGAGTGGATACATTAAGCACAGCTGATTTACAATAATTAATCTTTAGATGTGAAAGAGTCCTGTAGGTCTCGAACAAAGTCATCAATCTAGGGAGGGAAGATGTTGGGTCAGTTAAAAAAAAGAGCAGGTCATCTGCAAAGGCTGCGATCTTGTGTTCCACCTGGCCCACTGATATCCCCCGTATTAGAGGATCATTCACCGCTTGGAGACCAGGTGTTTAGACCCCCTTCCTGGCCAGGCCATTTTTCAGTGTTAAGCGCTGCGGTACTTTGACTGACGTTTATTCCGTCATGCAACGCTGTACTGAAATTAATTTTATACCATTTTTTATTGCTCTCACTGCGAAGTTCACGGCGATATGTAACATGTGCGGCGTAATGGGCGCAATCGTCTTTTTTGCACGTGTGCGCCCCTGACGCATGTTTTCATGCGTGTATGTATGGGAGGGGACTTTAACATTTTTTTTTGGTTTTTTATTCTTTTTTATGTGTAACTTTAACTACGGCCGGCCCGGAGGCAGTTAATAACCGTTCTGATAAAGGGTTCCAATGTCAGAATAAAAAGAGTGGAAGACAGGGGACAGCTCTGACGTGTTGCATTCGACACCTGAAAACTGGAAGATAAGCAATTGGAACAATTGGTTCTAACCTAGGTGGTTAAGAACTAAGTGCAGCTATGAAACGAGGGCCGGATAGTTAAATGGTAGTATCAAAAAGTTTTATTAACCACTTCAAGACCAGGTGTTTAGACCCCCTTCCTGGCCAGGCCATTTTTCAGTATTCAGCGCTGCGATACTTTGACTGACGTTTATTCCGTCATGCAACGCTGTACTGAGATGAATTTTATACCATTTTTTGGGGACAGATAGAGCTTTCTTTTGGTGGTATTTAATCACCGCTACGGGTTTTATTTTTTATTATAATTAGGAAAAATTACTGAAAATTTTGAAAAAAAAACGTTTTTTGTAACATTATGTCAGGAAACATTTATTATTACCCAGTTTTTTGGTCAAATATTAAAGATCAGGTCACGTCGGTTAAACAGACACTAAACATGTCAAGCTTTAAAATTGCGCGCAACCAAAATTGGCCATAGGCGACACTTTAAACGTTTTTACCGCTCATCAGTTTAGTGTTATCAGTGATTGATGGCCCTAGACATATTGCTCTCACTCCGACGTTCGCGGCGATATGTAACATGTGCGGCGTAATGGGCGCAATCGTCTTTTTTGCACGTATGCGCCCCCGACGCATGTTTGCATGCGTGTATGTATGGGTGGGGACTTTAAAAAATTTTTTTTTCTTTAATTATTTTTTATGTGTAACTTAAAATTTTTTTGGGGGGGGGGACTTAAATTTTTTTTTTTTTTTTTTTTTCACTAAACTTTATCGCTATCACATACGGGGGCTAATAAAACCCCCCTATGTGATAGCAAAATATGTGACAGGTCCTCTTTATGGAGACATCAGGGGTCTCCAAGACCCCTAATGTCACCTAGGACCCCCCAAAAGAAGCTGATGAAGCAGAGATCTGCTCCATCAGCTTCTTTGCAGCTTCTGAAGCTGGAGAGTGACACAAGAATGCGGAAGTGATGTATTATACAACACTTCCGCATTCTTTCAGAGGAGAGGGGACCGGAGGGAGCTCGTGTACCGAGCTCTCTCTGATCCCCTGTGTCACAGGCGACATGCTGATCCCGGGCTCGCACCGGGCACAGCGGAGCCCGGGATCAGCGGGACAACGGCGGGGGGGACCGCGGGGGGGGGGGGACACCCGATCGGCACCCCATACATGCGATCGGCCGGCTCTACAGCTGGCGGATCGCATGTATATTAACGGGCATCGCTGCCCGTTTTTAAATTCCGCCCATTTCCCGCTCGCCTGGCGGCGCGCGCAAGGGGGCGTGTCTGAGCGGACGTCTAGAGACACCCGCTCAGATCGAGAGAGCTCCTGGCCAGCCGTTTTTTTACTACGGCCGGCCCGGAGGTAGTTAAATAACAATATATTCTCATATTCAAAGCAAATGCACAGTACAAAACCCACCACCTACACCGTCAATAAAAGATTATTGCAACAATCCATACATACATGCCACTATTCAAACACACAGGGAGCTAGCTGATCAGCGCAATTAATGCCATATGGTGGTCCTCAAATGAAGGAAAAACAGGTAGAAAAAAGGGGGGGCTTTGATGGATGAGGAACGTATATCCAATAAATTATCTGAACTGCCTGGCTTTACTCAAAAAGCAATGTTCCTTGGTATTGAGTCCAATTATTGGGTGTTCTTGTCTTGGAGTAGGGGAGGTGTGTATATATGATGTTATCTTGATTGTAGGAATTCAAGTAGGATATAGCTAATCCTTGGTACTCCAACCGGTCACTCTGAATCATTAGGCCGTTGTCCACTTGAATTTGTAGCTGATATTTTTCATTATAGCCCAGTATCAGGCTTTTCAAGTGGTCCTCGAGATTAAATCCTCCTGTATAGACCACGATTTTTGGACAATCCCTGTGTTTGTTTCCAAGGGTGTTTCTTGATCAAATGCACAAAACCCTTTTTTCTCCTGTAATTTAGTTTGTCCACGCTAACTGGTCAGGTGTCCGACATGCAGTTAGTCAAGC